TCACCAGGCTGTACCTGCAGGGTCCCCAGTGTGCCACATCTCCTCCTGGGTTCCAGGACTGCAAAGCTTCATCAAACCCTATGAGCCTGCTTGAGCCACTGATGCCCCAAGGCAAGGCAGCATCCTTTCCTCAGCCCCCTGACAGGAGCTGACACATCACCTTCACCCTCAGCATCCAGCTCCTCACAGCAACCTTCTGGCTTACTGCTGGTCCTACAAGCTAAACAAATGGCCTCAAGTTGTGCCACAGGTTGGACGTTTGGAGAAGAAATTTTTCCTAAAGGGTGGTGAGGTGCAAAGGGGCTGCCCGAGGAGGCTGTCATCATCCCTAAAGGCGTCCAGAAACGTTTGGATGTTGTACTGAGAAACATGGTTTAGTGGAGAAATAGTGGCAGTAGGATGGCTGGACTGGATGATCTTGGAGGTCTTCTCCCACGACCACAACTCAGCACATATTCCTCCGCACGAATGGACAGCAGCATCGGGCAGATTTTTATCAAACTGAGATAAAATCCAGCAGAAAAAAAAAAAAAACGAAGGACAAGAATGAAGTTGATTAAAATGTGTCCAGTAATGAATGCCATGCAAAAAGATTCAAGTATTACAGAGGCAGGCCAAGCTGTAATTCCTTGCAAACGGAGAACCACAGGATGAACACGTTCCAGGAGATTTTACACTGTTCTAATTGCTCCTCTTTCCAACATCATTTTACAACTTCTGTGTGCTTTCTTCCTACTTCTCTGTCCCCACATGTGTTACCTATTTTTGCCCCTCTGAATTCTCTGAAATTTGCTGTCTTTATCCTTCAAGACAACCAGAAATGCACGTCTACTTGTTCCCTCCCCTTCTCCCAGGCTTAAACTAAAGTCTTCCCAGTGAAGGAGCACTGCCCAAAATCTGCTTGCGATTCAGGCAGTCCTGGCAATGACAAGCAGCACTTCATGAATCATCTGTTATATATTGCCTTATCAACATGGTCCGCTGCGCAAGAAAGTAAACCTGGCCCACTTCAGCTTCCTGCATAACATAATCAAAATGTGAGTGGCATTAATTACTACAGCAGTTCTAAGACCCCTCAAGCCAAGGTCTCAAACGCAGCAGATAAGAGACTGCTGTGAGACACAATGTAAGGCAAAATCATATTTTCGGTTTTGATTTTATTTTTTTTTTATTGTTGTTGTTGTTTGCAAGTCTGAAATCAGCAAGCTGAGGAGAACCAGGTTCCTTTCATCACTGTACAGCATTGGTGTGCTTAGACCTTGAGTACCTGTACATGGAAAGCATGGGTTGAGGGAAGCAGATGCAAAACTGAAGAGCAATCCTGAGTGAAGTGACAAGACGCATCCTGACAGCTTCTCTGTCCAATGACACACATTTAACAAAAGAAGCTCCAGGTATTCCAGCAGGAATTGATAGAATATAAATCCAATGGCCGGTTTTGCAGGCTGGGTAGCAGGACTGAAAAAGGAAGGTAAAGAAAAGTGATGGGATGCCTAAAAACAAGCTACAGATAAGCTAGGAGAGCAAGAAGGAGACACCACCAAAGAGGCCAGCAGGAAGAGTCAAGAACACTTGGCAAATACGTAATGAAGATCATTATCACTATCCAAATAATACTTTCAATTAATATTTCTTTGTGGTCTTTATGCTTGGTAGTTTGGAACGGGCTGGCAGCAAATCCCATTCAGCAAATAAAACGTTCTGGTAACATGACCATGTGCACCAACCATAAACCAAACCGAGACAAGCAAGAAGAGTCCTAAGGGTTTGAAGAGTTGTGTTATATATACATTATTACACACATACACACACCAGTATTTCCAATAAATACAAATCCACGTATCACCAACCAGCACAACACAGCCATTTTATTAGCTGGAAAAGGACAGGAGACCAGAAGAGCCCATGATGAAGGACCCAGCTGGGTCCTGAACATTCAGGTTGTCAGACCCTGCGGAGCATTGCTCAGCACACACTTGGCCACTTAACCCAGACAGCACATGCTGCACTCAAGCAAACTCAAGGACTCATTTACAGTGCTATTACAAAGGCATGGCACACAACAAGAGTTCCAGGAATGCAGCCCAAAGGTGCTGAAAAACAATGGCAGTGGGCTTTCAGCCCGGCGTTCAGCCAAGCAAGAACACAAGCACCTCATGCTGTCAGCCTGCAGTCCTTGAGGTTAGGCTGTGCAACAGGTCCTAAAGGACATTCAGCATGCAAATTCCTTTTAGTATAAGTTATTTAGTAAGTGCACGGTGAGCTCTTAGCCATTCCCAGCTCTGGAAACAGAAAGATGACCTGGAGTATCTGATTCTTTCATATACTATATAGGCGGTGGAAACGTTCTTCCTCAGTGCTTTGTTTTATCTGGTTTGGGGTATGTTCATGCAATAGAAAGGCTGTAGCTGCCTCAGAACTGGAAACCCACAAATGATCACAGAGGGAAAGCTTCAGCCATTGCACCAAGCTTCCGATCCCAGAGGCGTCTTCAGATGGCTTTCAAGAAGTCTGCTCCAGGGAGCAGCAAGCCACTTCAAAGAGATTAGGAGGGCAATGTAATCAAAACCCATGAGCTCCTGCTCAACTTTACCTTTTATTTTCACTAAGCCCTTCTCCCTTCCCTTGCAGGTCACTGCATAGTTTAATGCTGCAGGCTGGAATCAGCTCCACCTCTCCAGCAGCCCATAGCCAGGCAGCTCCCATGCTTCCACCTCTTTTTGCTTAATTCTTTCTTCTGTTTTATTCTTTTTGCTCGTAAGCCAACACTAAGTGATAAATGAGACCACATCACATACATGGGGCATGGCACTGCCCCCAACCCCAGCTGTACAGCTCAGACCTGCCTACACATCACAGAACCATTAAGGTTGGAAAAGACTCCTAAGATCATCCAGTCCAACCTTGCACTAGCACCAATGATGCCCACTAAACCACAGCTAGCAACTCTATGTAAGCAGAGATGGCAAAGAAAGCCACAGAGCTGAATGGTTTTGCAGGTCACGGACACCACTTCTGAAAGGGCAGCTCCTGTGCAAAGGATGAAAGCTGCCATCCCGTGCTTCCATCCCATCTGCTAAAAGACAAATTCCTCAGGTCATTTTCCAAATGCATCTCTGGCCGTTCTAAAGCATCCTTGCTCCAAAACCAAACCCTGAAGCAAGCCTCCCCCTCCTCCCCCCCCAAAAAAAAATCAAGGACGGGAAGATAAATTTTCAAGATTTAAGATTTTTAGAAACATTTTTTCCCCCTCAATTCAGCCAACTGAGAGCACAGCTTAACGTCAGCGATGACACCTGTCAGGTGCACGTGCCATTCATGCACAGAGAGAAGCAGAGCATCCTGGAGTGCCGTGCCGCGCACGCTTCGCTTCGTACAGAAAATCTGCAGTGCTAAAAACTTACTCTTTCTAACTGGGTGGCATTTTACATTTCCAAATGTAATTGAGTGAGCACGTCGCCATGGTGACGGTAGGATTCTGCAATAACTTTGGTGCCTTGTAATTGCGGTATATTTGTATACAAGCAGCTGAGCTTTCTTAATTCAATGCCCTCTTAACTCTTTCTGAGAGGCTGCGGAGCGACAAAGGCAGCCTTTGGGCTGGAAACTCCACGAGGAAGGGCTGGAAACATCAGAGCAATCAGAACTCAAGGCAGAGGGAGGGGGGGGGGGAAAGAAAGGAGAAAAAAAAGCAGCCTTGCCAAGAAGCAGATTATTATATAAACTTCAGAGCTCCCCAGCTTTTAGAAACATCGCTGTTATCAAAGCCTAATTCAGATAATTAACTTCAGGTAGCTTTTTGGCAGGGAACGCGGCCCCAGCTGGAAGCAGCCCGTGACAGCAGCACATCGCAGTGCTGTTAGCATGGCACGGGGCTGAGGACAAGCACGGGGCACCCATCCGACCCAGCACACCCACATCTCGCTTCAAGGGAGCGTTTTTGGGGCCGGAGAGCAACGAGCCGTGCTAGGAAATGGGCGTTTGAAGCGACGAGCCGGGTTGGTGCCAACCTTGGGAGGCGAGCAAGCAACAAAACCTTCCCCTATCATGCCCCAAACAATTACGCAAGTGCTTTGAATAAAAGGCCGGTTCAGCTCCCTCCGTAACGCCAAATACAGCCCTACCATAATGGCAAATAATCGCTCCGCAAACACGTTCCCCTGCTAAGAGGCCACGCCGCTCGGATAGCGCTGAGCATCGTTCTGACAAATTCCTGCAGCAAAACCCGCACCGGCGCTCGGCAGCACCTCCCTTACGCAGTGCCACGCGCGTTACAAGCCATTTTCTCTTTCTTTTTGCTTTTTAAGTTAGGAGCCCAACATCGCAGCGCAAACCTTATCCCCCCAACCTGGCAAAACAGCATTTTCGGGGACTTCCACCAAACCCGGGGCGGCGGGGCCGTGCGGGGCCGAGGAGGCGCCGGCCGGCGCCTCCTCGTCCCCGCACGGCCCCACCGCCCCCGGCCCATTCCGCCCCCGGCCCCGCCGCTCACCGCTGCCCGCATCGCTCCGCGCCGAGCCCCGCGCGGCTCCGAGGCGGCGCCGCTGCTGCCGGGGGTGGGAGGAGCCGCGGCCGCCCGCGAGGGGGCGTGGCCACGCGGGAGGCTCCGCCCCCTTGCCTCATTCACAAAAAAACGCCAGCGCCGCCGCCCGCTGCAACTCCCCGCCGCCCGAAGGAGGGCGAGCCGAAGCCACGCCCCCACCGGGCTCGGCGTCCAATCGCGTGGCGCAGCGGCTCAAATCCACCCGCCAATACCACGAGGGCGAACGCGATTGGCGCGGGGAGCTGCCCGTCACCTCCCCCCTGCGGAACCCTCCGCGCCGCACGGCCGGAGCCCGGAGGAAAACAGCCGCGCGCCGTCGAAGCCTTAGGGAACCACGGGGAGGCCCGGGCCGGGATTAAAAGCCGGCGGGCAGAAACTCGCGCAGCCTTAAGACGCCGCGCGGCGGGCAGCGGGGCCCCGGCGCGGTCCGGCCCGGCGAGAGGCGCCGCGTACTGACCTGGGTGACGGCGGGAGGAGCGCGGAGCCGTGCGGCGAAGGCCCGGCGGCGGACACGGGCGGCGCGCGCGCCACCAACGGACTCAGCCCGTGACGGGATCCGCCATCTTGGAATTTTTAGATGGAGAGTCACGTGGTGCGACCATTTTTCCCGCCGGCCAATCAGGAAGCGCGGTTTATTTATAGCCGCGGCTCCCTCTTTTTTCTTCCCCCCCTCCCACTCCCCCCCTTCCCGCTCCGCCTCATCCCGGCTGGGCGCGCGGCGGGGGAAGGGAACCAATCGGACCCCGCCTCGGCTCTTAGCCCCGCCCCCCCGCACGTCGCCTAGGTGACGGCGCGGCGCGCGGACGGGCTGCGGCCGTTGGGCGCCGTCCGTTGTGTTGCCCCGTCCCACAGCCGAGCTGCGCCGCTTGAAACAGCGGCTGAATCACCGTGTGAGCAGCGAAACGGGCAGAGCCGCGGGCCGCCTGGCACCTGAGGAGAATTGCTAACAACTTTGTCCCTTCCTTCTTAATTCACAGCTGTATTCTAGCATACAATCACAGTTCTTCTTTCTCCTTTTTTTTTTTTTAGACGTTTAACAATTACAAAGCCATCTGAAAATCATATTCATTTGACCCCTGTGGTTGCTTCTCTTTCCATGCCACGAAAACATCCCTGTTTCTTGGCGGAGGTCAGAATCAGGCTGATGGTTCCATCCGCACAATCATCCCATTAAGCTCAGCTTTCCTGCCTTACTTTACTTTTAAGAGACTAATTTGTGAGCGGCAACTTAAACGTTACATCTTCCAGTGCCGAAAGGGAGCCAACAGGAGGGGAGTCAGCTCTTCACAAGGGTTGATAACGGGAAATGGTTTTGATTTGAGGCAGGGCAGATTGAGGTTGGATGTCAGGGGGAAGTTCTTCGCTATGAGAGCGGTGAGGTGCTGGAACAGCTGCCCAGAGAGGCTGTGGATGCCCCTTCCATCCCTGTGGCTGTTCACATTGGATGGAGCAGCCTGGTATTAGATCTGGAGCTTGGTGGCCCTGCATGCGGCAGGGGGTTGGAGATTCGTCATCCCTTCCAACCCAAGCCATCCTGTGATTCTGCATTTTGATTATTCTAAGCTTGAGCCTACAGGCAGCACAGCCTGCCTTGCAAAGGATCTGAAGTTTGGGGATATTCTTACTCCAGTCTGTGTCCTCACTGGCGTGAGGAGCAGCACCTCTGCATAAAGCTGAAGCCCGTTTTTGTCTCATTTTTACCATATACTGGCTTGTGGGCTTGTTTGTTTGTTGTTCTTTGGTCGGTGAGGTTTTAGGTTTCCTTCTACGGTCGTTCTGCTGTCTTTATTCAGGGCCAGTTTGTGTGCTCACGTGCAGGTATGTCTACATGTATAAATAAGCTTCTAAATTATTTTAAAGTGTCCAGAGACATGTGGGTACAAGTGCTTTAGGTCTAGAGGTTCACGAGTGCAGACGGTGCAGCCGACGAGGCAATATTTACATATACCAGAAGCTGCCCAGTTGATCTAATGAGCGGTGGCCATGGCAGGACCCATGTAAGGACAGCTGCATGGCTGCCTGCTTTCTCCTAAGGCTCCCCATTTCTTGGGCTGCTGTGAGGTGCTTTGCTCACCAACATGCTTACGGCCATCGCTTTGCCTAAGTGGTCCCTGCAGCATCCACACCCCCCACATGTGCCCTGGATGCTCTCCTGCAGCTGGGTCTGTCACCTCCAATGCCTTCTGCATGGCTGAAGGTGTTTTAAAAAGATGAAAGAAGAGAAAGAAAATTGCACCCTTAAAGTTGCCATGGAGTGTAAGTTTTATCTTCCGAATTTGATTGATGCTTTACTTGTGGTCGTGGGTGTGAATATGTGTGTCTATTAATATCCAGTCTAGGCTAACCTGTGCATAATGACAGAAAATTAAAACCTGCCATTGTTCCTATAAACTCGAATTCAGACATGAGCAAGAAAAAGTGTTCTTCCTATATGCTAAACCTGACTGTATATAGTATGGTCTGTTTTTACTGTAATTGCAGCTGAGAAGTTTACTTAAAAGCCATTTGAATTAAAATAAAAAATTGGGGAAAAAGAAAATTGGCAGAGCTAATTCATAAAGACTGAAATAAAATGCAATTACAGAGCTTCCCGCCTACCTCCACCTCATCTCTACATGAACTCTACTTCTTGTTTGTCAAAAAGGTTCCATTTTTTGATGTTCTTAAGCAGGTAACATCCATCACAATGCTCCAGTTCATTTTCCTTCCCAGTCACGGCGATCTGGAAGAAGTAAAAGAGGGTCTCTCTGCTTTCCATCCTAATACTGCCACTTCCATCACCTCCTCAGCCGGAAAAAGAGCATCGAGTTAGGGAGAAAGCCAACAGGAGCTTCCTCTAGAGCTTTGCCACTGAAGAGCAACACCTACTCCAAGTGCCAATGCTGCAGTCAGGCCCAGACACAAGCGTCCATGTGGATTGCTTTCTCTCCTCCCTCCGGATCAGTTAGTTGCCATCATCGCTCTCCCTTGATATTTTTCTCCTGCCAGTCACCCTTCTTTGCCTTATCTCCCACTCCCATCTGCTCTGTGTCCTCCCTACATCATACTCATTTCATCCTTTCTGCCCTCAGGAAAAAAAAAAAAACAAACAAATGAAAAAACAGCAACCACCAGATTTAAAACACAGCTGTAATTAAACAGAGAATGTTACATCCACATTGCCCCCCCCCCTGCATTTTCCTTCAGTTATACCTTTTCTATTCTTGTCCCGGTGAATGTTGATTCAGCTGGGATTCCTTCTATCTTTGCACAGGACCACAGGCAGCAGAGATACTTCTCTCTTATGGTGTTTTTTTCAATACGCTCTGAAATCTGTCTTCTGTGCAGAGCAGTCCTGTCTGACTTAATGTGTGCTATAAAGGAGAACAAGGTGGTTCTCGTCCACTAAAGAGTCCCTGCTGAGGCTGAAGAAGTCTGTATTTGGCTGCAGAAGTTATTTTTCCAGCTTGTCTGCAGACCCAGCACTTCATCAAGTCTTCATCATTCAAGGACTAAAAAGCTTAAATTCTACAGCACTAGGGCCAGTCTCAGAGAAAAAAAAGTTATTGCTGTTGTCTTGGGCAAAATCAAGTCCCTATCCCACATTTCAAGAAAATAGGTTGAAAATAAAGGTCACAGTGCAAAATTTGTTCTTCAGGTTTATGCTTTTCAGAAAATCTTCAGGCATACATATACTCTGTCTCAAATTATGCTCTTTATTTCAGCGATACCAAAGACAGAACACGCAATGCTATGTTGCTGGATGGAAGAATGAGTGATAGGAGATTAGCCAGCCACACAACGGGCAGGGCTTGCTTTCTATGCTGCAGGTTTGGTAGAGGAAAACACACCTGGAAATAGCTGTGCTGCAGCAGTGTGCAGCCTGGGTAGCAGAGGCAGCTGCTCCCTCCTTTGAGCTGCGACAAGGACAAGCCATGGTGCTGCTGTTGGGAAAGAAAAGACCAGGTAAAGAAGGCATAGAATCCGAAAACGTGCAGAAAAAGCTATGCAACAAAGGCTAATGAAGATAATGCTGGATATTTATAGCAGTCATTTTATCCTCAGCTTGATACACTTTGCAAATGTTTCCTTGCCAAAATTTGCTCCGAGTGCTTTTTGCTGAATTTTATAAATACATGTATTTGTTCAGCAAAAACATTGATTCTCTGAGCTGTGTTGTAGGAGATGGAGAAGGAATATGGTGCAGCCATTACAAACTGCTGTCCCTAAGATCTTACCTTAAGATATTATCCCTCCTGATCAGACTGATGAGCTAAGAGCAAATAAATCTCTTTTCCTTCCTCAATTGCCTTCAGTTGTCAATGTTAGTGGCATACTGAGGCTTGAATTTAGAAATACACAAGAAATAAGTCTGTACTTAAGATGAGATCTTTGTGAAATTGAGGCCAGGATAATTGTTGGATCATTTAGCTTATCAGTGTCTTTTTTTTTTTTTTTCTGATTCTTTCCATATATGTTATTGAATTCCTTGAATTTTCAACCTTGGCAGCTGCCGAGAGAAAAAAAATGTGTGTGTGTGCATGTGTGTGTGTGTGCATGTGTGTGTTTCTCTACAGTGGGAGCCTTAGAGAAAATATTGATTCATTTTTCTGTCTCTTTCAACCAGAAAAAGAAAAGAAGCATCCTGCATGATACAGGATAAAAACAAACAAAAAAAAAAACAAAAAAAAACCAAACAATTAAAGTAGAAATAACTGTGAGGAAGAAAAAAAAAAAAAAAAAAGAAAAAGAAAACTACAAAAAGCAACAAGTTACTTTTTCAATAAAAATATATATGCAGTCTGGTCCCTGGGTGTTGGTTGTAAGTGAAGATATTGACTTGCAGCTGAATGACAAGTAGAATACTTCTCTACTGAAATATTGATAGTAGATTACACTAAACCACAAACTATCTCCATAAAGCCCATCATTTCTTATCCTAATGGTGTTTTCTTTCCCTTGGATGACTACTACATTCATGATACAATGTCTTTATTCTATCTGCGGGAAAAACTTTTTACCATACAGCTAAATTAACTTGTCAAAAGACTTCAAACTTCGGAAGCTTTTACAGCTCAATTCAAAGCTATTATTCAAGATTGAATGAGAAGGCTGTGGACTGTAAAAGCTGGCAAAAAATAAATTTCACAAGCATTCACAAGTTGAATGGAATACTTACTTTTGTTCAGGTTGTGTGTGTTTCATTGAGCTGTCTGAGAATGGCTGTATTTTGCCCATAAGCCCCTTGCTTTACAGAGAAGGAATGCTTCTTACTGCTGCTCTTGGAGCTGTGACCCAGTGCTTGCTCTTTCACACACACTTGATTGTATTTTCTTTGGGCCAACCAAAGTAAGTGCCAACCAGCTCTCTAAAAATGTGGGGAGCACAAAAGAGAATGGATAGCTGCTAAATTGAGGCAGAGCAAGAAACAAACCTATATCTACACTTTTTTTTTAAAGTGAGATCCTAGACTTGCATCATCTCACAGTCAGTCACAGCTTTCTCATGCAAATACGAGTGCCTGGTTTCAGGAGCAGCAATTGCTTTTGAGGAGAAGCAACTTTCCTATTTCACAGGTAAGTAGCAGCTGGCAGAGCCTGCACTCATGGACTTCTTTTGCAGATCTGCTGCTACTCAGTTGCTTTCAGACAAACACAAGAAGGCAAGGTGGAACATACAGAACCAGAGCTCTTGGACCCGAGATGCCTATGGCAGAGGTTGCACAGAGTGACTCGACTCACAGGTCAGAAATGTATCTTGTGGCTAAAGCCTGCAGATCACTGCAGTTCACTTGGGCTCCACAACTCACCTTCCCTCAGTCAGAATTCAATCAGAGTCACTTTCCTGCTTTTTCTTCCTTCTCTCTCTTTTTTTTTTTTTTCATCATTATTTTATTCATTTTTTAGCATGCCTACTCAGAGCATTTTCAAGGGTTCAGAGCACTTACCCATGAACTGAAGGGTCAAGGATCACTTCTCTCTTCTACCTGGCAGAATCCTTAAATGCAGCTTCCATCTCCCCAAATGCTGGTGGTCACAGCAGCACAGGATAGCATCTCCTTGCTGCAAAGACAGACCACTAAGCAGAAGCACGATGCACAAGATGATAGAGCAGGCAAGAAGTTACATCCCTTAGCCGACAGGCTGTTGAGGAGAGTTAAAAAATACTTATTTTCTGGAACATCATTTGAGCGTAGACCAGTGTTGACAGGACCAGCAGCACAGCACCAAGATATCTCAGGGCTTTGCACTTCAGAAGCTGAGCTCTGGGGAGTACTTCATAGCTGCCTCCAAAATAGGATAGCAGTGTAGTGTAGTCTGGGGAAAGCATCTTTGATCTTAAGTTATTAATTG